TTTCCATAATAAAGTAAACAGGATTGCTGAAGGAAAAAAAATGAAAGCACAAGATTCTTTATCTGGAGCAGCTTTGCTCTGCAGACAATATAAACTTATTAGAATAGACACATATATCACCTAGAGTTAGATATATAGCCAAAGGTAAACTACCTTTGTGGTTTAATACTTTAGAGAATATAGTCCTTGCAGACAAACACAACTGTACACTACTTGATCTGTATCAATCTATAGGAACCAATATCTTTACTATCAGCTCATACTCTATTTCTAGGAAATCTAAGCTTTAGATTATCACCATTAATGATGAGGAAATTATCTTTGAAAAAATTCGCAAACAATATTCTGATACTACAGAAGTTTTAATTACATATTGACAAGCAGATTTTGATCTTAACAATACTAGCTGCTACCTATTACCTCTTATTAGTTGCAAACCTTGTTTAGGATGCCATCTTAATTCTAATAGAATAAAATCAGCTTGTACTCTAGAAATATTTACAACCACATCTGCTAAATTTTTTGGCAGAACAATACATGGTCAACTCAAATTTAATGCTAATTACATGGATCTAATCTTCTCTACTGCTATTAAATATCCACCACCAAATTTTGTTCTACCTACACCTCCTATTATTCTAATATTGGACTCATTTGTAATATCAATCTTTTATTCAGAAGAACTAACAACCAAACTTGTAAAAATATCAACTAACAACTTAAACTCCAGATTTTTAATTTCTATACTGATAGATCTGTTATTAATATTGGTACTGAACACTGTACAATGGGTATAGATTGGGTTTAAGTTGATAATAATAATCAAATTAGTTCTAAATTTAATGCTCAAATTAAGTTCTGGCCATCCTCATATAAAGCAGAACTCTTTTCTATTTTATCAGCCATCACTACAACACTTTGTAATTCTACAATTAATATTTATACAGATTCACAATCCATCATTTCTAAATACTATAAACTTATATCTCCTACTTGTAATCCTAATAGACTTTTTAAATTTAATACATGCCTACTATGGTATACATTTCTCAATATAATGAAATTCTACCAACTACAAGTAACTTTTCATAAAGTTCAGGCCCATACAGACAACACTTTTAATAACTTAGCAGACTCTTTAGCTAAACAACATATAATTAGCCCATATCTTAACTTTAACTATATTAACATTTATAATCTATATCATATTTTATAGTAGGAAGAAGAGTAATTTTTCATAGAACAAGCCACAAGACCTTTTATTAAAACTATCTGAAAGCCCATATTTTGGCAATGTAGTTATCTCAACAACGTAATCAAGAATAGTTTCAAGTCAACCATAGAATCAACTGAAGATCAATATAGCTATACCTTAACCATAATCATAAACCTACTCATAACATCACAAACTTCAAACTCAATCAACTGAAATTATTTAAAATCAAAACACTACTTCAAGAACTACCTATTCATTCACTTTATCATTATCTCTATCCTACTACTTTTCAACATACCAGCTACTTTCATTGTATAGCATTAGACTCTCCTTTATACTGGCTCAACTGCCATTACTTTAGCATATAATCAATACTTGGATTAACTACTACCTTAACTCTATTAAACTAGATTTAACATCTGACCAAAAAATATATTTAATTTATCAAATACAACAATATGAGACATTCAACCTCATAGCAGTTCACCAATCTTCACACTATCTAGAACTTACTTTTAAAGGTCTAATCCCAAATTCCTTAGTCAAACAGTTCAAAATTTTTATATATCATATAAACTAGCATCCACATTATTATTGAACTATTATTTAAAATTAATGAGCAAGTATGTAAACAACTTTGGAAGCCTAATTGTACTAATTTCTCTAATTAGAGGAAACAGCAACAGATAATATACCCTTACTCCAAACCTAGAGATACATTATCAACTATTAATAGAATTAATCGTCTCAACACAAATTATACTTACTCTTGTATATGTGAAACAGCAGACCAATTATATTCTTATTTAGGTAATTGCCCTCTTGTGGGCCAGGCTTATAGAAAAATCAGTATCTGTTATATACACTGAATTAAATATAGTATTACATTAAATTTTATCCTATTCATAATAACCTAGATGAGTCTTTGACTACTTTAGTAGATTTAGGTCACAGATAAATATGTCTGAGCTTTTATTCTTGTATGTAATTTTAATTTTATTTGTACTTGTACAAATAGTAGTATTTTTATATAGTCTCTATGTAGTTACTATTCTTAAAATTATTACTAATGATATGAATAAGGCCTCACCTTAATACCAAAAAAAAAAAAAACTTTTTTAACAAATACCAAACCAAATTGCCTAAAATTTATATTAATGATAAATATAATATTGGACTACAATATATTAAACTTTTAGCCAATTCATATTAGTAGTTCTTGAGAAATTACTTAAAAATTATAAATAAGATTTTAAAAAGATTATTTATTATTTTTAAATAAAATCTCAAGAATTGTTAATATTTTATAACAAATAGTATATTTATTATTAATAAAAATTTAACCAATTTAATTTAGTAGTTTGAAAAAATCAGAGTTAGAAATTAATATAAAATTATTTTTACTCATATTTTTTTATTACTTTAATTTATATTAACTTATTGTTTTAATTTTTTTAACAAGCAATAAAATTAACTTTACTGAAACTTAAGTTTTTTTAACAACATAATTATTATATTAAAATAATATTATAATAATATAAATTATAAAATTTATAAAATTATATAGTTTTTATATTAGAAAGCTTCCACTTATTACGTAAATATAGCCTCTCTTCAAAGTCAATCATTTGATAATTATTTCAATTGAAAAAGCTTTACTATATAATTTTTAAAAATAAAACTCAAAATTTGAAAATTAATTTCTCAATAACTATCTCATTATACTAAGTTAAATTTTTATTACTACTACAGAAATCATCAAATTTTAATATATAAATTTTTAGAATTTTAACTTTAAGCTTTGATGAGATATTAATTTTTTGAATTTAATTAATATTTTTATTTTTTAAATAAAAAGCATTCCAATTTGCTCTCATCTAAAATTTGTTCTAGCAATTAAAAAATCATCAAAACAAATACACAATCTACTCTACATATATAAACTTTCCCAAAAGTCTCAAGGTCATAGCACTTCTCTATAAAGAAATATAGGTGTGAAAAAAGTTTTGTCAAGCATTGTATTATTTTTGCAAACCTTCAAATATTTGCAAAATATATAGAAATTGGCAAAAATTTATAATCAAGGTTAAATTTTATGAATTTGTTAATCAAAAAATCTTATTATTTAAATGTATATAATAAATTATTAATGATATTATTATGTTTGTTTTTTTAATAGCACTACTAAGTTAACTAATAATTCATAACAATAAAAGTAAACTAATACTTATTATTCTTAAACATTGTTTACAGATAAATGTTTCTACAAATTACCATGATTTATCTGTAATTGAGCTATAAAACTATATTGGATCATAGTCTATATCACAATTCATTTTATGATAATGAATGGTGTAAGGGATAGCATCCTAATTTTTATCGTAATATTAACAAAATTTGCCTGGCACATAATGCACGAGCACAGGCACGGGAAAAGGAACAGGCACCCATCGCCTACCTAAAAAATGCGGGCAAATATTTAGGCATCAGCACTAGGCATCAGTGTTGGCCTATGACCTTAAGTGACCTATGACCTTTATGACCAGTCATAGGTCATTTGGTCATAACGAAGATTGATATGACTTATGACCTTTTTTAATATAGTAAGAATCATAGTAAAGATTTTTTTCATTAGTATTTGATATGACCGGATGACTATGACCAAAAAGTCATATGATTATATGACCAAGGTCATATAGGAAAAAAATGGTATGACATAGTCATCGGCCAACACTGCTAGGTATGGCATGAGGCGCTGATGCACGCATAGTACCCCATATGCCGGCATGAGCACTTGCAGAGCCCTATTTAAAACCTTTATTGGCCATAAAGGTATTCACAATTTAATTTTAATCTTATGTTTTTACTGTAAATCATACCTTTTACATTATCTATATTTTATATAGCCTATTAATAAAAACATCAAACTTTTTAGGTCATTAATTATAAACATTTGTTACCGGTATACTTTTCGCTATTATATCGTATAATCTTTCATCCCATAATCTTTAAATTCATCATTCTCTTTTACTTGATTACTCTGCTAATTTTTTACATGATAAAAACCACATTACTACAACACAACACTTTACTGCTTTCCTTCTATACTGACACTTGTAAGTTTATATTGCACTGCTTTCATATTCAACCTTCTAATAAGACCGTTATTATTTCATTTTTCTACTAATACATCTGTCTCTTCTCTTTTACCATTCAACTTAATTGACTTTCTATCTTTTATCCTTTCTAAGTTAAATTTTATTGCCTGCTGTTTCATTTCGCATAGCTCAGTACATTGGGCGATGCGTATTATATTATTGTCCGGAACATAGTGGAGGACATTAAATGATCAGTAAAGTGATACAGAAATTACTTTTTTGATGAAACGGCTGTTGTGTTTTTGAGGTATTTGGCTAATTAATTCGTAGCATCACATCAAAAACAATATTTTTGTAACACGATAATATCATGTGACTTCACTTTTGACTTAAACAGTTTCCGTTTCCTAGTCATTATTAAATATACTGAAAAAGCCCAGGAGTGTGATCAGAATTTTATTGACCAAATTTAGAGTATTGCTAATTTATTATTTTATATAGAATATTTTTTTTTTGCATAGAATAAATAAAATTTCAAAACATTCATAATCCATAGGCGACTACTTAAGTGAAATATGATTTAATAAGACTATGTCTGATTTTAACATGTATATACATGATTCTAAAATTTATTGCATATAATAATTTAAAAACCATAAATACAGTAAAAGAATAACATTCTATGGTCAACCAATCCAAGTTTTTTTGGCAAAACATCTCTGAAGATGAGTGTAAGTTTTATTTTCGTTTGCTTCTTTAACAAAGATGTCCAACAAATCAATATATTCTTCATAAGATATACCCATATATTCTGGAAGAAAGACAAAACTTTGGAATAGCCTACGAAGATTATTCATTGACTACAAATTAAAAAAAGTTAGAGATTATAATACATAGTATACATAGTATAAGTGTAATAAGAAAATAAATTATTGAAATTATTATTTTACTTACGTATTTACCAAAACATCCAAACCATTCGCCTACTGGATATTCTATTTTAATGCATTTTATGTTTGTAAGCCCATTTGATTCAAATATTTTCGGCAGCAAATCAGTAATTCGACAATTAATGCCTTTTTCTTTCATGCAAGCTATACAAGCTAAAATTAATAAATAAATAAATAAATAAATAGTTATTTATTTAATACTTTTGCATTAATAGAATGACATTAAGTACTTTACTAACCAGCCTCTTCTATCCATTTTGTAACCTTTCCACGATTTAGACATAGAGCAGTTGTTTCTAAAGACTCGACCCAACCATCATATTTTAAAACTCTAACAATATCTTTGGTCAATTCAGACCATTGTTGCTCGGTGAATGCAGAATACATCATGCTCAAATAAACAAAGTCAAAAGTCTCCTTAGGAAATGGAATTCCATAAGTTACATTGGATGTAAGAAAACAAACGTTTGGCGGATATTTATCACTCGGAGGGAAAAATGAAGAATTTACATCGATTCCTATAAATGTTGATGATGGATATTCTAATGCCATATCAATTATCCAATTACCAGAACCACACCTTTTAATTTAAAAAATTAATATTCGTATATAAAATTAACAAATATACATATACATATGTTGTAAGCGGGAATGGAATCATAATAATTGTACTAAAAATCTCAACCCTAGCCTTATAAATTCCGAAACAACTTAAATTCTTTTCCTACCTACGACATAATTATTCCGTTATAATCTAAGTAGATTCCGTACCCTAGTATTGTTCAATTCCCACTTACAACATATATATATGATATATATTTGTGTATATAATGAAAAAATATATATTTACCCAATATCAAGTACTTTAGCACCATTTTTCAACTTTTCTGCAATTGGAGAGCGAAAGATACCTTTCCAGAGATGTTTACTTAGCACATATGACAGAGTTTCTCTGTCAGTCTCTAATTTATCAGATGGTAATATATAATTTAAATCTTCGATATCAAAGAAATCTCTTCCGTTTATTGTTTTAAATTTACTCAAAAGAGGAGAAGTAACATCATCTATATCTTCTTCTATACTTCTATCATCATTAATGAATTCTAAAGAAAGTGTTCGGCGTTTTTCCTTTGATTTGCCAGACGCAGCAGAATGAACTTTAGAGTTATCAGACGTCATTACATTGAAATTAATAATAATAAATTGATTCTTTCAAATATTTATTTAAACTTTTTTTTTATTTTTAGTTACATACATATGTTTACTGTTTAGCCAGAATTTCAGGGGCTAAAGTACGAGGTAGACAAGTATTTTTCGAGCAAACAAATATTTACAAAATATAAATCTAAAATACATTTATATTATAAACTTTTTTTTTTAATTTTCCGATATATTTTATCCTTTTTCTAATGGAATATCTTTTTATACATAAGATACTATTTGTTACACTACTTATCCCTTAAACGGTCAAACTTGCTATGATATAAAAAATAATTTGGTAGCTTATTCATAAATTAATCATGAAAATGCAAAAACCGTTTAAGGGATAATGATTTTATTTTTAAATGGGGTAAAAAGTCACGATAATAAATGATACAATATAATTAATAATTGTTACATGAGTTCCATAACCTGAATATATACTTTAGACCACAAGATCAGTCGTATAATACGCAACATTCCTGTATTAGGATACTGTACAACTATTAACACTTTATGAACAAAACGTTTTACTGTCAAAGGTCATTACCGATTGTGTATGTACACCTAATGTCTGTGTTAATAGACCCCAATTTTGATTGATTAAAATAAACTTTTGTATATTTAAAATATGAGTTTCCTAACTTTTATTCCCTAGCCTAAATAATTTAGAGTAGTACAATTAAATGATGTTATATCAAATTCATAAGTTAGAAAATATCGATCAGATGATTATCTGTCAAAAGATTCAATAAAGAATTATTCTGACTCATAAAACTAAAAAGAGAATACTGAAAACAATTAAAGTTACAATGTGTGTTCAATTAATATTAGTTGGGAAATATTTGGTTTGGCGAGCAAATATTGTCACGTGCACAATTAATTATTAATAAGATCCGTGGAACTTTCGTTTCAACAGTAAATAGCGGAAACATTTAGATGCCAGCACAACGCCAGCACTGGTGTAAATAAACTAGCATATTAAGCTAAACAGACAATTAAAATCTTAAAACAAAGAAGAAGCGCATTTATTAGCCAATAAAATATAACACGTTAATTCTAAATTCTACAAGCATGCATACATTCTTTTTTTTATCTAAGCATATAGTTTTGAAAGAATTCTAAAAAAATACTGGCAATTTAATATGTGCAAAGGAACCAAAAAAAACAAATTTAAGGCTACCTTTAAATCCGTTCTCCGAGTGAACAATTATCTGTTATTACTGGTAGTACTGTATATACGTACGTACGTACGTACGTACACGTACCGTATTGTAATAATGAATTTTAACCAAACATGCATAAGTATTATTACTTTTTGTACGTACGTACGTACCAGAAACAGTGTCATTTGTAAATACAGTACCACAATGTGTATGGTTATACGGCATCTTTAATTCTCACAATGACAATGCATGTGCAGCAGAACTGTGGAATTATATACATACGTACGTACTAACCATATAGATTAGTATCTACTATAGTTAATTTATTAGTAAAAATATTTACTAAAGAGTGGTGACATTTTATCTAGTTCATGTGTTAATTCCCTTGAAATTAAACCTAAGGGGAATTTGATAATAATTCCGGGTTAGATTAATATTTACAAATGATTCCTACAGTCACTCGTAGAGAATCTAAGAAACGAATGTATTATCGATTGTAGATTTGTTTAATAAAGAATCTTTTTATAAGGCAAGGCTAGACATTCTCTTACAGAGACCAAATGGCCTTTATTTATAATACTATTTTATTAAGTATCTACATTATTTGAAATGACTATTTAAACTGAATTATCCTTATAATCTTAATTGTCCTTAGTGACCAAATTGTTCTTATTGACTATTCCTTCGATTAGGCCTGAAAGTGCTTTTGGTTACCCCAAATTTAACATCCCT